AAAACTTGGCTCCCAGCTCTCAAAAATACAGCGTGCAAAAGGTCAACGAACTCTACCCAGCCACAAGGACCGGGGATCACTACACACAAAAGACCAGCTAATGACACCCATCAACCACAGTGACAGATAATCGCTTCTCCTTAGCACAACAATACACCCACAACAAGACACACTAATCACCCATCTACAGAAAAAGACAAAAGCCCATCTCACAGCCATAAATACTCCACTCCCAAACCAACTACACCAGAGCACAGAGTGCTGTCCTCTGAAGATGCTGGCCACAGAGATTGGCGAAACGTTAGGAAGAACAAACTTCAGAACACGGCCAAAGAGCCCGAAAAACCCACAACAACCATTAGATCCCGGCCGTGAAAGCCTTCGCGAATACATTGTCTCCAAATGGTTTCTAATTGTGTGATACACAAAAATCCCTCTTGAGCCAAATATATGTATTATTTGTTGAGACTGACCATGGAGGATCAGTCAGGGGTACGAAACCTAGGCCCCAAGTAGTTTGGAGCTTTCCAATCAGGAGCTATGCAGATGGGCCCAAAGAGTCTGAATTCTGCTTACATCCTGCATTTAGCTTTGCTTTGCTGATAATAGAAGTGACAAAGACATTAAATCTTCCTGGTGAGCCACTGGACTCTTATTCCGACATCTATGTGGTTTCTGAGGTTTCAGAGGCATTCTCTGCATAGTTCCGAGCATATATGTACAATTGTAAGTTCTAGAAATGTGCCCTTTGTGTCTGTGTGTTTTTGTGTGGAAGTACAGCTCTTGGGAAAATAGGTTGTGTACCCACTATGTGTTCTTCATTTTCCCCTCGTTTTATCAAATAACAGCATACACAATCCTGTCTATAGGTTCATACTTTAAGTGCAAGATGTGTCAATTGACTTTTCTGCTAGCACTGAGCTTGCAGAATTCATGGTTTCTGCATGGTATTCTGTTTATTTTTTTCATTGTTGTTTAGTCATTAAATGATGTCTGACTCTTCATGACCCCATGGACCAAAGCACGCGAGGCCCTCCTATCTTCCACTGCCTCCCGGAGTTTGGTCAAATTCATGTTGGTCGCTTCGACAACACTGTCCAACCATCTCATCCTCTGTCGTCCTCTTCTCCTCTTGCCTTCACACTTTCCCAACATTAGGGTCTTTTTCCAGGGAGTCTTCTCTTCTCATGAGATGGCCAAAGTATTGGAGCCTCAGCTTCAGGATCTGTCCTTCCAGTGAGCACTCAGGGTTGATTTCCTTCAAAATGGATAG